ATTATTAAGTTATTAGCGTAGTTAGTTAATTAATTAGAGTACTAGCGAGTTAGCCGACTTTAGCGTAAACTTTAAACCTTAATTTTTTTAAAAAATTAAAAATACGCTAAATTTACTAATATATCTATATATAAAAATTACCTAATTAGGAAATATAATAGTAGCTATAAGTTCTTATAGAATATAGAATAAGCGCTGAGTAGCCCTAGGTTCTTATAGAATATAGAATAAGCGCTGAGTAGCCCTAGGCTCCCTAGGCTCCTATAGCAAATTGAGTTACGCTAGGCTACGGGCCAAAACACCGATATATACTTCGAGGGAGGAGAGTAATTATTACGAAATAGGACTACGGTAGACTCTAGAAGTACCTATTCTATACTAAGACTAGTTCTAAAATACTAAGGAGCCTAGTATATAAGACCTTAGGAGCTATACGAATCGTATACGAGGTTTTTAGACTCCTTAAGTTCTTATAGTCGATATTCTAAGGACTATATAGTAATTAATCGATTATCTTAGTGTTCTCGTTAAGTTACTTATACTCTTATAATTTCTAACTTAGGAGTCGTATATATATAGTACCGCCTTAAGCCCTATAAAAAACTTAAGTACTTTAAACGAGACTCGAATCCTCGCTAGTTATGTATATTAACTTCGCGTACGGGCATCGTATATAAACCGTAGCCTAGTCCTAGAGTACTCTCGTACGAAGTGTCGATATAATTATTAGAGCGGATGCTATAGCCCCTAGCGATTAAGCTAAAAAGACGTAGAGTATCGACACTTCGTGTCGATATCTCTAGCAATCCACTATATATACGTACTTCTTGGCATCCCGTGACATCTAGAGTACGCCCTAGAGCGATTACTCGTAGTATACCTTTAGGCTATATAACTATATAGCCGAAGCTACGTAACTCCTCCCTATCGATTATCTCCTAGGAAACTATACTAACCTACTATAGGAGAGGGTAGGGAGTATTTCCTTTATTCGTATAGTAGATAGATTTTCTCTTTTCTTTTCTCTCCTCAGCTTTAGAATCCTCGTTATACGGTAGTTAGACGAATTACTCTAAATTCCTAGCTAAACCCTTATACTCTAAGACGAAGTACTTAAGGGAGAGCTCGACGGATGCGTACAAAGAAAGTCGATAAATATAAGCAAAAGTAGGAGAATTAATTACCGTAAATTTTACCTCTTCAGCCTTATAAGTTAGAGCGTAAGGGATGGTTTGGCTAAAGGCGAACGGATAAGGATAAAACATTAATGCCTTAAGTCTAGGGATTAGGGGAGAGCTTCGTTTAAGGTCAACTCTCATCCGTAGGGCGCATGAGGTGCCACAAGTAGTCAGGCTAACAAGATAGGTCGCAACCGGACGAAAGAATTTCATCGCGAAATCTGCCGTCCGTTCTACTATGACAAAATAGGGCGCGGGCTACACAAGCCCTAGTTAGAAAATGTCATGTAGTGATTTGGGGTCGCCAGGCACCCTTGTTCCATCCTACACCGGTCGCTATAAGGCTGAAATGTCAGTGTTTATTGGAAGACCTGTCTGCCAACCTCACGGTTATGCCTTTCCAATCTCTTGACTTCAGGAATAGTTTTGTGAATACACATCAATCAAAGTAAACATATATGTTAGGATTAATCAAGATTGCCCATAGTATATTCTTGGCGGTATTTTCTTTCCCGTCGGTCTAAATAGACTGCTGAACTCCTCCAGCATCGGATTTAGCTGGATGGTTCGCATACGCGCTTTCCTGATAGCTACAGTGGACATATTTACAAAGAGGATCGGCTTTAGCGGTGAGAAGCGACATGGTGTCTGGAATCAATTCGGAGAGGCAAACTGCAGGGGCATTGAGAAGGACCACAGCTGTAAGGTTTTCTGATACTTCCCCGGTGCCTCCTGAGCAGAGTTTGAATCATAATACTCACCTGCGGACTGCCCTGATACAATATCCGTTATCTCGCCATGGATCGAACACATCGTTCCTGTCCCAAGCCGTCATGAAGAAAGATTGACCCTACCACTTTCTCCATCAACATGCGGATCGGCCTAGCACATGGAGCACGTCGTACATCACAGTGGACGGTGAGCACGGGAGGTTTGGGCGGCCTACTGCCCTCGCAAGAGTTCTCATACTTTGTGAAAGATAATTGGATCTAGGGTCTCTGATATCGGCCTGTTTAGAAAATCCATCTGCATCCTCAACTGGTCTCCTCATTGGAATGTTAAGTCGACTCAACGGCTCGCATCTCTGCCATCACACCTGCCGAGGCTTTTGCCAAAAGTGGTAGATCACCATGACCGATCACGAATCGAGCACCGTACACATGAACAAACTTGCGCATGAGGTCCGGTCGATCGTAGATCCCTGCAACACCCAGGATCTTCTTGTGCTTCTTGACCGCCGCACCAATCTTTTCCATGCTCTCAGAAAAAGATGGATGCTCGAATTCGCCCGGATGACCAAGCTCGATAGATAAATCGTTCGTCCCAACTAGAACAACATCCACGCCTTCAACCGCTGCGATGGCTTCGACATTCGACACCGCTTCGGGTCCTTCGATCATGACAATCACGGTGGACATGCCCACGTTCCCCACCTCCAGGACCCGAGCGATAGGGGTACCTTTGAATCCCATATGTGGAAGCATTCCAGACACCGATCTCTTGCCTAGGGGCGGATACTTGCATGCTTTAACGGCAGCCTGGGCTTGCTCTGGTTGGAGTTAGCGACGGCCCGGCCTCGACAAAACCACTTCAACGAGTACCCCAGGAAGGAAAGACTCTCACCTTCAGTGTCCACATGAGGAAATATGACGCCTTGGGCGCCGTTGTCCAGGACTCGCTGGATAAACCCTGCTTCAACACGTCCTGGTACCCGAACGAAGGGGGTAACATTGATGTTCAGTGCCGCCACGCAGAGCTGACTCGTGACTTGTAACGATAGACTGGAGTGTTCGAGATCGATGAATAGGGCGTTGAAGCCAGCGTTCCGAGCGATATATACCACCTCAGGAGATGTAATGAATTTGATGCTAAATGCCTGTGACTGCGGTTAGCCGTCCAGCTCCACATTCGGTGGTGATTTGCAGGACGTCGTACTACGCATAATTTCCCTTGGTTTTCTTGATCGATCAGGCTGTTGCGGATAGTGGTCGCCATTTTTACAATAATCCAATAAGTCTCTAGTCGAAAATTGCGTGTTGTGTGATGTTCTCCCGCTTCCAAACTTTGGGAAATACCTTCTTCGGTAAAAGCATACTGTGCTTGTAGTTATGAGGGAATTCACCTGATCTATTTAGGAAAGCCACACTAGGAGCGTCGAATCTGCCCACCATGAAATATTCAGACTGCTTGATAAAGTACGGCAAGAATTCCCGACTCCAACGCCACGAGTTGATCACATTCACCCCCGGGAGGAAAAGCCGAAACAACTGTGCTCGAACTAACTTGGTTTCACCGACCTCTCTTGTCGCACGGTTGCTTGAAGCCCAGAACGAAGTATTTGCCACACTGAGTCACATATCGAACTGTTGTGTTCGACCATGCATTCGCTACCCGCTGTTGCAAGACCAACTCCTGTCCCCCATACGGGGACAAAAGCCGCCCATGCCTTGGTCCTTTTCAACGCAGATCGCTGGTCAGCACGAGACTCCCAATGAACACCTTCTAAGCGGCCGGGAGGAGCTCTGTATCATCTAAAACGTGTCATCCTATAGGCTAAAGCTGAAGGCAAATAGTGTAGATGTTGCAGCCGCACAGCACGTAATATGTTGGCGCAGATATATGGAAGCTCGCCGACGCTAGGAGAAGGACGTGTAGAAACAAGTCTCCACCCATGCTTGTGAGTCTCGCATTTCTCTGCCTCCTTGTCTAAGCTAATTTACTTTTTAACAGCTGTCTCACTACCAGTCGAACATCAATCCAATTGTGTTACCCTTCAACCCGGAATTTTACTTTACAGGATGTCTTCCGTCATTGCCAAACGCCTTGAAGGCAAGACTGTCCTAATAACAGGAGCCAGCTCGGGAATCGGACGAAGCGTGGCGCAGCAGTTTGCGAGAGCTTCTCCGAAGAGCCTGAAGCTCATTCTCGCCGCTCGTCGCATCGACGCGCTACAGCAAATCAGCGAGGATATCAGCAAAGAGGTCGGCAGTGGCGTCAAAGTTCTGCCCATCCAACTGGATGTCAGCAAGCCAGAGGAAGTGCTATCTTTCATCAGTAAATTGCCCGACGAGTTTAGAAAGATTGATGTTCTCGTCAACAATGCCGGTCTAGTCAAGGGTGTTGCACAGGCCCCCACCATTGACCGAGAGGATATCATGACTATGTTTGACACCAATGTGTATGGGTTGATCCACATGACGCAGGAAGTGTTGAAAATCATGCGTTCCCAACCCAACGGTGGTTCTGGCGACATTATCAACATCGGCAGCATCGCCGGACGAGAGGGCTATGTCGGCGGAAGTATCTACTGTGCCACGAAAGCCGCGGTCCGCATATTTACAGACAGCTTGAGAAAGGAATTGATTTCCACCCGCATCAGAGTGATGGAAGTGGATCCAGGGCAAGTGCAAACGGTACTGCCCACCAGCTCTTGACGGCGTCGGCCGAAAATACCAGAGTATTGACATATATCATAGGAGTTCTCCATCGTCAGATTTGGCGGTGACAAGGAAAAAGCCGACGCTGTCTACGCTGGTTGCGAAACGCTGACACCGGACGATGTTGCAGAGGTGGTGGTGTTCAGTGCAGGTCTGCGGGAGAACGTCGTGCTAGCGGATTCGCTGTTGTTCCCCAATCATCAGGTAAGCACGCTGGGTGGTTCCCCTTTCTCGAGTGGAATTTTGACATCTCACAAGGCTTCTGCAACTATTTTGCACCGAAATCTGTGAAGCACAAAGTAAAAGCATTGATATCAAATCTGACGCCGAGAGAAGGCTTGAATTCTTGATATATCCAAGGAATGTCGTAAGTGTTGTTGAAGAAGTATATGTTGCAGACGTATGCCGAGATGTATTTTAGTCAACGATCGAAATCCTCGAAAGCCAGCAGGGTGCTATTTTCCATCAAAATTTTGGTCTCGTCCAACGCACAAGTGTTTGTCATAGTCAATGAGTCAGTGACGGCTGCTACTGTAGTTCTGACGTAGCTCCCAAGCCGTGTTGTGTGGGGAGGAGCGGATAGAGAGAGTGTGTCGGTTCCAAAACCCGACCACGGATTCCACGCCCGATAGCTTTCTCAAGAAGAGAGAGAAACCATGCTGTTACTGTGTAGGAAAGAAGATTTTTGGCGTTCAAGCATAAAGTTTAGTAGATGCGTCTCAGTGCTGTTGTGTGCGAAGGGGTTCTCTTTGGAATAGATTTCTGATGTCAGCATTCCATCTGCACATCTCCTCAGACGAACAAACTTCAAATAACAAGTCCTGTTTTCACAATGCCAATTTACCATCTAGGTTAGTCTCCTCGGGTAAGATCTTAGCACAGCTAGAGACCTAACAAATCCTTACCGCAGTGCTCTTCAAGGTCAAACCGGATGTTACTTCTTCGCAGCTGAACGAGTGGAAAAGTCTGGCCAAAGGGATGGTTGGCAAGATTCCAGGGCTCGTCAAGTTAGAAGCGGACACACCACTCCCGTCGACAGCACACAGGGCGATGGGGTTCAGCATGGCATTGGTTGCGGTGATAGAGAAAGCGGATGATCTGAAGTCGTATGCGGAACACCCCGCGCACCTCGAGTATGTTCAGCATTCCTCCCGCGCATTTGCCCCCTTGAATTCTTCGGTGAGGATGGTCTCGCAGTGGATGTCCGCAATTGCGAGCGCAAAGCCGAGGCCCCCGATACAGTCGCGGAAGCCATCACTGTACTGGTAGTTGACTCAATGCTTGCTCTAGGGTTCATAAGCTTCGGGAAAAACTGTGTGAGGAGACTGTGGTTTACGACATCGAGTATTCAGATTGATTCTACCTTTAGATCTCTGTTACTACATATTTCGCAATCAACAGAAGTATGGCACAGGGTTGCGATTCAGGCTCGTAAATGGGTGCATAGAAAAAGGATGCGAAGCCTAATCGCTCTCTTGTTAGGCGGAGGTTGTGCTATGTTGCAGGAGAGTCTATGTAGGGCGAAATAGGATCGGCTGGGTATGAAGGGGAAGTCAGTGGGTGAGTCGTGCACGGGTGGATATATAAAACCATAGGGGCGGGGTGGTCGGCCCCAAGCTGGGGGGTTTTCAACTTCGTATTCAATCTCTATACGTTCAAAGATGTTTGAAGGATGCAGACGTAGATTCCACACAAATATGTACTCTCAATGTGATCAGTACTAGCGTCGCTTGCAAGGCTTTGGAAGGTTTCACGTGTGAGTAGCGGGCCTGTGTTATTGGAAACTCGGCCACTCATGACCTCGAGAACATGCCAGTAGGTTCGAAAGAGGAGTGATCTTTTTAATCGGCACTTGGCCGGCCAACACCAAGGCCCTGAAAATACCCGCAATGTTATTCCTTTTGCTACAAGGAGTAGTCGACATTTATTTTCGACGAGGTTATCTTTGATGATACCATTTGGATATTTTAAGTAGCAAGGCTGGGCTCCCCAAGAATTTGGAGTGGCTCAGAATCATTAGCAACAGGGGCTTGGCATGAGAGAGGAGGTCACGTGGGTGTTTTCGCTTTTCAATACGAGGTACGGTATAGTAGGCACGTGGGTAGGCTAAGTTGTCACCACCAAATTAATTCCCCCCCTAATCACCATTCGGGCTATGCGCTTGCCCGTACATTCTCGACCTTGAATGAGCATCTGAGGTGCAAAATGAAAGACCGCAGGGAGAGCCTACAGACAGTGACTAGAGCATCCGGCAATGGTTGAGAGAGGCCGCAAACATATGAACAACATGGGGGCATCGGCACCCTATTCCGCGAAGCCCTCAAAAACTTATGGTATAGCACTCCACTCTGTCGAACCAATCCCTGGGGCGGCAATGAGCAGGGATCATCGGGTCTCGATTCCGTCCCACCTGGGAATGACTCAAGGCGACGGCCAACCTGTCGTTCAGCCGTACAAAAGTACACTCTATTGTGTTCAAAGAGCATCCAGAGGCTGGTCTGAATTTGAATCGGACCCGGCGAGACGGGGCTGTGTCTGCGACTGGCCCCAGGCAAGTCGTTCCGATGGTCGTCCACCTTCCTGGTTCCCGGCGTAGCCAACCGGCGTTTAGCGTTGGCCACCAACATCTGTCTACCACTGGTGTGTACGAAGGCATTGACAGGCATATTTGTCTAGATATTTAAAGTGTTTCTTCCGATCGGGACTCAGATGCCCTGATTTACCCCAACCACCCAAACTTTTCCGCCTTTATTCCATACACCACTGCCACTATGGGATCATTAGCGCCCTTACCTGACATCTACCTCCTGGAGAAGTTTCCGCCAGAGGTAGTCAGCTACTGCCAATCTCTTTTCCGAACAGTTCTTTGGACCGATCCGGAAGTGCTCAACTGGCGAGAGAATGCGTCAGCGATCCTGGTGCGCGAAAAGCTTGTCTCCGCACAAGACATCGAAAAGGCGCAAAAGCTTCGTGCGATCGGCAAGAATGGCGTCGGTATCGATATCATCAATCAACCAGCCTGCGCCAGCCGCGGGATTCCAATCCTCAACACACCGGGAGCGAATTCACAGTCCGTTGCGGAACTCGTCCTGGCGCTGACGATGGCTGTTGCGCGGCAATTGCGGACTATCTCGGTCAAGCAGGTGACAGAGAAGGTTGCCCTGAAAGAGGCATGCTCAGGTGTTGGACTTGCAGGCAAGACCATTGGGATCGTTGGAATGGGAAACGTCGGAGTTTCTGTTGCTCGGATCTTTCAAGGCGGTTTCAATGCGCCGATCTATGCTTACGACCCGTTCGCGCCGGCTGGAGCGTGGGGCGATATACCGCACACTCGAGTCGAGACCATCGAAGCCATGCTCCCGCACGTGGACATGTTGACCCTCCACGTCCCCCTAACCCCCGAAACTCACAACATGATTGCCCTGCCGCAGTTCCAACTCATGAAGAAAAATGCCATCTTGATCAATGCGGCACGTGGAGGCATCGTCAATGAAGTGGATCTCATGAAGGCGTTGACCGAGGGTCTTATATGGGGTGCAGGGCTGGACTGTCACGATGAAGAGCCCCCGACGCTTGAAAAATACGGTAAACTGTGGGATACTGGACGGGTGATTTCGACTCCACACATTGGGAGTGCCACGGCGGAAACCCAGATATACACGGGCAAGCTGGCGCTGAACAGGGTACATGAGTATCTCACTCGAGATGAGAGCGTGAAGAAAGATTGAAGCAATCCATCAGCCTGCATCATCTGCCCTTCATTTGAAACGTCATTATTTTGTCACCAATGAAACATGGCATATTTGTTGAAAGTTTTATTTCTTTTGGGGATTTTGCCTTTGTAGGCTGTACTTTGATCTCAAGTACAGTTACGGGGGGGGCAAATTATGGAACCCGCCAATTGACATTTAGATTACTACCCAGAACGGAAGATCTCAGTTGCCAACGCTTCCCAGTCAGTCTCGATTGCTCCGGTAAGATCCAAGCTGTCGTGGTTGTACCAAAGATGAAGATCATGCGTGTCTTGTCCCAGCAGCATCTCACTTTCTGCTATGTCATCGACCCAGTGTAGCGGTTGCTCCATGGCAATTACCTGGGCATCCGTTTCTTGCTGCAGCTTTTGCTGCCCGTTGTTGACACGCACAGAAGAAGCGGCTTCTATATCGCCGATGGTGACACCACCGCTCGGTTCAGTATTGGTCAAGCTCTCTGCTATGTTGAGTTGTTTGCACATTTGGATAATGTCTCTCCGTCGTACGGCCGAAGGCCTGTTGCCATGGCTGTTCAGATCTTGAAGTAGGTCTAAGCAGCCCCGAATTCCGGATAGACCCGAATGTCTGTGTGAGCTTGGATAAATGGTTTCGGCGAGGACAAACACAAATCCTGCCGAAAATATTGCATCGAGATCGGAGAATCCAAAGTTTGCTGTTTGTGTTAACGGTGAGCTAAGTTGATATGTCGGCCATCTGCTTACCTAGGAGTTGCTGTTGTTTGAGCGCGCAGAGTATTCTGAGCGTATGCCGAGCGGCGTCAATACAAGTTTCCGCCAGTGATTCAAGAGGCCTGGAAAGGATTATGTTCTGGAGCTGTTCTTTGACGGCCTGCCTGGCAAGTTGGAGCAATATGGGTCGGGTTACAAGGATGATGGCCTATTTCAAGCGTCAGCAACATCTATTTGATAGAAGACTGCCACCTACCTGATAAAGCATCAGATACAAAGTGGCGCTAGTTCTCGTAACGCGCAGTTGCTGAGAAAAATCCACGGCGAAATCGGCAGGCATATTCTGTGATATTTGATGTAGCTCAGACAAAATGTTCTGCACGTGTGTCATGAATATCTGCTCGGTCTGTCCGATGCTACCATAGATGTCTGATCCATACTTAGCAGACATGAAACATCGGGATATAAGGATATCAAGGGCCATACGAACTTTTCAAAGTTTGACCGGTGATTTTTGCAATCTTAACATTCGTTGTGAGGGCTTCTGAAGCACAAAACCCAGGTGCATCGCGTGGTAACGCAGCTCGAATGACTTCATCGTCCACGCTGAGCGGATTTCCAGTCGCCGCCGCAAGTCTCCTGAAATTGTTCAGATCTTGTCCAGTGTGCAAAGCTAGACAGGGCATACCGTTCTTGCATATAAATCGTCCACCACAGTCTGTTTTGATGGGTTTTATCAGAGCGGGTCGTGGCAGCCGCGCCGCTGTCTCGATGTAGACCCATCAGGAGAGCCATCCGCAAAGCGACGCCGGCCTGCTTCCATTCAGCCTCAGATCTGGAAACCAGCATTTTGGACTTACGTAAACATAAGCGTCATCCCTTCGGTCGGCACACTGTAAATAGTAGGTAACCAGCCCGAGAATTTCTATCCCCTGGATCCCTGAAGTGCGAAGGTGACTGAGTCCGGGGATGCGGTTCATTGCTTCTATGAAATAGCTCTCTCCAGGAGTCGATAAGCGGTCGTGAAATTTGCATGTGAGGAGATCGCCAATAGCAAAAACAAGCAGCAGCTCGATATACCATAGTGTAGTCGGGGGTTCTTGACCGTTCGATGCAGAGCACATGGCCAGGCGATCTGCCACAGATCGAGGATCGAAGAAATGCTGCACCCTGCCAATCGAAGTTAGGATCGCATCCAACAAGATCTCAGATCGCTCTTCGTCGGGCCATTCTTGAAGATATGAATGGTTCACGTTCGGAAAATCCGGTAAGCTCAGACCATAAGAATCGTCTCGTAATCTTGGTGTCTCGATGCTGGGAGACTTATTTCCCATTCTCGGTTCGGCTGACATGGCTATGATGTGGGAACCAAAGATTAGACTGGATGACATGCTTGTGTCCGTCGTGATGGCTTGGTCTGACAGGTTAGCCGTCGCTCGATAATCGCGATAGAGATCACGAACGTAAAATGGCGGCATCTGGAGCACCGCTTTCGCTCCTGAGAGGATGAATATAACATCCCACGGCTGCAGGGCCCGTCATTGTAGTCTCTACTGGACCAGGTTGGCTCGCCGCTTCTGCACCAAGCTGTGAAATTTCTGGTGCGTCTTCCGGTGGAATTTCAGGGCCACTGCCTTCGAGTGACCCTGTCATCCTCTCGAGGCGTTCGACATAGCTGACTATGTGTCAGCGCAACGTCCCGCGATTGGCAAGGTTGTCAGGCACGGAAACTGACTCAATGGGATATAATTTGCGTCTGCTGAACTCGGGAACTATGCAAGGGAGGTTGCGTCTCAAACAATATCGACATGGCTGCGTGCCGGAGCATTTACTTTTCCTCTCTCGACACGCAGTACACCTACCAAGCCGAAGACGTCAGCACACGAGACGAGGATTCCAAGGGGTTTGGCGTGCTAAAACACGCACGCTGTGGATGTTCTGGCCGCTTCGCCGTTGTACGACGCTGTACGGGGCTTTTTGAAAGGCGGAGGGCGTGCCTTCTGGCTTCCAGTCTGGTTTGCCATGACTTAGGGATGCATCGACGGTCACATCAGAGAATCTTTGGAAAAGTCGATTGAATTTGAGCTGGAAGCGGCGCTGAAATTCAATGGTTCCATGATTTGCGGGGAAAACACACTTGCATCTGCGCCCGGACACCTCTTTGCCGACCCGTTTCCTCTTTTGTGACAAAAGAATGGACTCACCCTGGTATCCAAGTTGAATGATAGTAATTTACGCCCCGGGACGCCAACCCTGGAGTACCTTGTCTGATATTACAGATTTTGCCTTCTGTCTTTTCTAAAAATCGACCACTGACCCTTCTGAGTGCGTCGGCATCAAAACCCGGGGCTATGTCCCGCTGTCGGTATGCACATCCGTGGCGAACTTGGTAGAAGCGACACTCTTATTCGCTCTAGGGATGCGATCGCTTGCAGAGTACCCGGTTGCCCCGCGCATACCCCAGAACCAGCGGAGACGAGGCGCGGAGATTTTTGGGCTATTGAGACTATATAAATACCAGCTGGACGCTTCAGGCTATTGCTCTCTATCATACTCAACCTCGATTCTCTTTCCGTGGTAAGGCGTTGTTTGCCTCCGAAGCTTTGCACGTGTAATCAGAGAAAACTCTCCACGGAGACTTACAATGTCTCAAGAGCCGAAAGAACTGAAGCCGTTGCCCGAGAATGTGTTGACGGAGACACAACTGGAAAATGCAACGGGTTATGTGGTTGACAGAGAGGAAGAGAAAAAGGTGGTGCGAAAGCTGGACCGGGTCATCTTACCTCTGATGGCATTTGTCTACTTCTTCCAATGCAAGTCGGACCTCAATCCCCCTCCCCCCCCAAAGCAGAGCTCCAATTTGCAAGAGAACCTCGTCTAATGTGGAAGCATAGATCTCGACAAACAAAACATCAATTACGCGGCCATTTTTGGACTGAGGAAGGACTTGCACTTGAGCGGATCCGAATTTTCTTGGGTGGTGTCGCTCTTCTACTTTGGGCAGTTGTGCTCTCAGTACCCAGCGGCCTACTTGATGAGCCGCATGTGCATCACTCATTTTGTCGGGATCGCCATGTGAGATGGTTTCATTCTTCGTCCCATGACGAGATACTGACGGTGTGATTAGTGTTCTATGGGGTGGGGTCCACATGTGCCTTGCCGCATCTCAAGGCTTTCGAAGTTTGGCGGCTATAAGGTTTCTCCTTGGTTTCTTCGAAGGAGCGGTGTCCCCCTCTTTTGTGATCATCACCAGCAACTGGTATTGTCGGAGAGAGCATCCTGTGCGGGTTGCGTACGTCAACGTTTCTCCTAGGTTGATGTATTACTGACGAACTCCCAGCACCTGGGTCTCCATGTTTGGAGTTTCACAGATCATCGGCGCTTTGTTGATGTATGGAGTTGGTCGCATTGACACATCCTTCCATACATGGCGACTGATGTTTCTGATCTGCGGTGCACTCACGATCATTACCGGCGTCGTCTTCCTCTGGCTGATGCCCCGTGATACTTCAACGGCATGGTTCCTGACCGAACGAGAGCGCACTCTTGCCGCTGCACGTCTTGCTTTGGACCGAGCAACCCGCGATCGCACGAACTTCAACTGGCCCCAAGCAAAGGAGGCATTTACCGACCCTCGGACATACATGTACGCGCTAATGGGTATTACCATTACGCTGCCGACCGCGATCGTCAAGGTAATTGGACCCATGTACCTTTACGTGTCTCAAACTTGGTGTTGACATATTCCAGTTCTCTTCTATTGTCATTCAAGGCTTTGGCTTCAGCGATTTCCAGACTCTGTTGGTCGGGCTGCCCGGGGGTGCTCTGGCGTTCTGCCTGGTATGGATCGGTGCTTTGGTGCCCACTCATTATCCCAACGCGCGGTGCTACACAGGACTTTTTGTGGTCGCCATGCCCCTCTTAGGGAGTCTCCTCCTGCTGCTGCTCCCTGCATCAAAGAACTGGGGCATCGTGGTCAGCACCTGGTTCGCAGGGTCCACGGCACCCCCCCTCAACATCGTTTTGGGCCTGTTGGCATCCAATGTGCGTGGAAACACGAAGAAGTCGGTCGTTGGTGCGATTTTTTTCATCATCTTCTGCGTCGGTTCCATCGCGTCACCGCAGTTTTGGCAGGCTGCAGATGCGCCCCGCTACCGCAAGGGCTGCATTGTAAGCGTGTGCAGCTGGGCCGTGCTCCTGACAATGTTGATGACTTTCCTTTTCACCGCGAAACGCTCGAATGCGAAGCGAGATCTGAAGGCGCAGGAGGACAGTGACTATTCTGAACAGGGAGTTCCAGTCTCGGTCGACTCGGATCACACGGAGAGACAGGATTGTAGATTTAGATATACACACTAGTCCTCGAGGATATGATGGATATTTCTACGGTAGCTACACTAGTCCGCGAGGATATGATGGATAGTTCTACGGTAGCCAAATATGGCAAGGTTAATCTTTGCAAACACGGATTCCCCGGCCAGTAGTGTTGCAAAGCCAGAACAGATGGTGAGTATGTACGGAGTAGTGGGAAACGACCGAGGGTTAGGTGACTAACGATCTGGCAACTTGGAAGGCGGACTCGGGGACGCGTTTTTGGCATCGAGGGAATACAGGGTACGAACGTAGTATCCCGATTCCAAAACTTAAGAGCGATCTTCTAGTTATTAGGCCGCCCTTTCTAACAGATAATAAAGCCTATCTACCGTTAATTTTGAGAGGATAGAGCTCGTTAATACTACGCTTTATTGCTTAAGTTAGTGGGTAGGACGTATATATATATATATAGAGTACGATGGAACTCGCCATCACAGCCTGCTAATCGCAGCCATGAAGTAACAGACACACTTTCACCGTGAACTTGTCATTTCAAGGCTCTGGCTCCGTCGACGGATATTGTCCCGTCCATGCAATGCGTTTCACCTTCTCTGTGTGATTGGGGACTCGAGGACTCGAGGAGGTATACATGACCTCGAATAGTAGCAGCAGTGAATGCAATGTCGCAACCTGCGTCTCTTTGCTCAATGGCATGCAAAGTGTAGTCCGAAGATGTCTAGGCCAAGGGCAAGAACTATCTTTGTAGAGAAGACAAGACAACCGCCTCCTGCGTTTGTTGATTCGAGGCCCAGCCACGAGGGTAACTGAAGCCCCTTCTTCTCCACCCCCCTTCCTGTCAAACCCATTGACAAGTGGCGAAAATCATGATTGGGAACAGACACACCCATTAACAGTGTGTGACTGCAGGCGAGTGGAGGCCTACACCCGATTTCACGAGGACGCCACACTTTGTAGAAGCAAGGCTGCGAACAGCATATAGAGAATGGCAACTCACCGTATTAAGCATACTAGGCCCTCTATCGCTATTCGTCAGCTGTGTTGCCTCCGCTTCCCTTAGGCGTCCATATGACAACCAATTTCAAAATTCTTGGTGATGAATCCTAATGGATTTCGACCAAGTAAGGGCTTTTCTGCCTGGACAATGAATAGAAGGGGGCTCCATCGCCACGAGTACGAGTAGGATCAAGGTCAATTCTGTTGTCGCTCGGAACAGAAGTGCCAGCCTAGGCATCCACAGTAGTGGACAGACCCGGTGCTGTGGATAGAAACTACGAGGACTCGTCGCATGGCTGGGACATAGTAGACAGAAGTAAAGATGCACTCGAATATGCTATTGTTGAGAATATTAGTCTGTGAGGATATTGAATGGTTATGGCCTGCGGACGCGCAGTTGCTTGTCACCCATCGGCCATCGTTGCCATCGTTGGTTCTCATGGTTCTGCACCACCGTACGGAAGCCTGGCAAGCTCTCGGGGTTCTCCGCCCATCAACGTTGGAAATGGACGCCTCGACGCCACCATCGCAAGCCTTTCTCTGTGTGGCATTAGGCTCCAGTGTGGCTTTAATCGTGAGGATAGACTCTAGGGACGTGTGTTCCGTATACTTGGTAGGAAGCACTTCGTACTCCGTACTCCGTACGGAGTCCCTACAGTGTATGTCCTAGCTCGGCGCCATCGTCGTTGCTGAGATCCTTGGTCGCTGTTTCAATTTGGCTCGCCTGAGGGTGCAACGCCCCAAGGAGCGAGCGGTAGCAAGGGGAAGGGGAAAGGGAAGGAAAAGGAAAGGGGGAAATGCAGGGACATGCGGGTTTGAGGTTGACGCCAAGCCACGTGCGGCCAGGATTATCATTTCTCCGATGCGAGGGATCAACACACCGAATCGAGTTTGCACAAGGCTCGAGATAGGTACCGAGTACGTAGAACGGGGTAAGGCTCTCCAATGAGCTCAATAACACGTGGACAGTACGGAGTACAACCTCATCAAGACACTGGTAAAGCCTTTTCAGTCGGCTGGGTGGGTGAGCCTTCCGTATACAGAGGCTGGGAAATTCGGTTGAAGTACTGTATATTCCAGACTGGGTATGCGAGTCTTGGTTGTCAACAAACGAGGGTCAGGATTATTGGTACCAGGTACCAAAGGCACGCAGTACCTACTCGTAGTGTCGAGCTCACACAAAAGGCGCCAAACAACTTACCCAGCGCTGTGATTGTTGGGTTTGGGACGCAGATGAGGATTGTGAGCGCTATTGTGCGAAGGGTCCCACCAATCGCGAGATACGACGGCCCAAGTCGCTTGTGGATTTCTTGATTCAGTTCCAGAGGGAGGTATTATTTATTATTGGCAACTTGGGACCTGTGGGTTAGTGCGTTTCGGAGCTTTTGGCCTGTCGAAACCTCACAGATTTGACACCGCATGCGTAGGAGCTAGCGCTGGGTGTGTGATTACTGCTTCCCCCGTCCCGTGAGTCTGACACCTTGAAAATTTTATGTGTCAGTTGACTAACTACCCAGGCAGGATACAATCTCCCATCGCAATCCCATCATCCCAGGAATGCATGGCTGCGTCTGCTGATGATGGATGTTATTGTTGATTTCGGCCATCTGCCATGACGAACAGCTGCCCACTTTCCATGGCACGGTTGACAATAATTTCATCTCGGGTGGCGGAGCAATTAGAATTCGCCTGCCACGCTTGATAACCTCGATGCAGGCTAGGTGGGATCATAAGCTTCATTAAGCGTTTCATCTCGTCCCCAGCGAGGATTACCCCTGCCATCTCCTCCGAAAACCATCAGGATTTCCTTTGGCAGGGCAACAGTCTAACTCCATCCGCCCCACCACTCAGAGCGTGATCGACAGGTCACCTTGGACCTCACCCTCCCTCTCCTGGCCTTTGCAGGCATTTTGTGGGCGATGGAACTTCGCTATGATCTAGCTGCAGCAAATTACGGAGGTGGGCACGTCGGTCGGTCCACATGAACGAGGCGACTGTCCCCGCTCTCAACGGGCCATCGAGAAGACTGCATGTCTGAGCATGAGCACGAGGTGATCTTGTTCTCCATGCCCCGTACGGAGCCGGAGCACCTTTGTGGGCTAAATGAAGCACCGAAATTCCCCCTATTGCGCATGGCGACATCCGTGGCCCTTGCTTCCATCCATCAGGAGCAAGCTGACGGTGCTTTCAATCGCTGACGGGTGGCACTAGTCTATACAGAGACCGGGATCGTAGAGCCAATATCCTGTCAGATTAGCGGATCAATAGGATTGTCCATTCACAACCCGTCTCCCATGATCGAAACGACCAAAGGTTTGAGAACTCAATTCATCGCTGCTCAGGCCCAGGATGGCTGGGCCTTATGATCTGGAAAACGTCCAAACATTAAAGCATGCTCACGCCTCGCCTTTGCACGTTCTGATCTTCCAGTTGCTTTCGACCATCATTCTCTCGTTTCATTTCTACCATGGCCTTCACCCGCCTTACCAAGGCTCTTACAGCCTTGTCATTCGCTTTGTCTTCTTTCCAACTCGTCACAGCTTCCAGCGATACATATAATTCTGCCTGTGGTCCTTCCACAGGCCATATCCCATTTACCATCGATGTCACCTGGGGCCCCACCGACTCGAGCAAGGCTTTCTCCAGAAATGCTTTCCTCATCAATGGCACCCTCCCAGGTCCACCTCTGCATTTGAAGGTTGGCGACGTTGTTGATTTCACCGTCATCAACCACACCCCCGATGTCACCGGCGTCCATTTCCACGGTATTCGACAACTCAGCACTCCATGGGCGGACGGTGTCCCCGGCGTCAGCCAGACAGTCATCAAATCACAGACCACCTATACCTACACCTGGGAAGCCGATGCTTCTGGAACCTACTTCTATCATGCTCATTACAAAGGACAGATGATGGACGGTCTCTATGGTGCCATTATAATCTCGCCCGCTGATACTGCCGATACTCCCTTTGGCCAGATTGGTGATGCTCAACAGGTCAAGGCTGCTGCTGACAAGGTCACACCTGTGTTCGCTTCAGACTGGAATCGTTTCACTTTTGATGAGTTCTTCCAGATTGAACAGGAGGCCAATATTGACTGGGCTTGTACCGACTCGATCACTTTGAACGGCTTCGGATCGCAACTCTGCCCCAGTCTTGATTTCCTGACTGCCAACGCTGCGCCTCCAGCCATCAAGATCTTGAACGGAACAGCCTTGACCGCCAAGGGCTGCATTCCCCCCAGTAATCCTGTTATTCAGGGACAGTTCCAACGTAACTTGGCCGCCCTTCCTCCTGGAGCTTATGATGTCTGCACTCCATTCACAGGCCAAAACTTCACTCTCCAGGTCGACCCCAAGGACGGCTGGGCCGCTATGTCCTTCATCAGTCCGGCTAGCTTTGCCATCTTCACCGTCGCCATCGATAACCACAAACTGTATGTCTACGAGTACAACGGAAATTACATTCAGCCTCAAGTTGTAGACAAGCTCACCCTCGCCAACGGTGATCGCATCTCCTTCATGGTGAAACTCGACCAGACCCCAGCTGACTACATCATCCGTGTCGCCAATGCTGGCATAAATCAAGTCGTTTCCGGCTTTGGTATCTTGGCATACAAGGGAGGTGACGATTTCATCTCAACCCAGGGAGTCATCAACTACGGCGGTGTGAACACTACCACCGTCACCTCATTCGCCCCTGGACGAGCAGCCCCATACCCGCCTGTCGCCGTCTCCTCTCACGCCGATCAGACATTTGTCCTGGACATTCTCAAGGATCCCGCCCAGCCAACTGAGGCCTGGGCATGGACTCTCTCCGGTATCCAGGCATACGATGAGTCGCGAGACGACGCTGTCCCTCCGCTACTATTCCAGGACCCCAGTGCCATCCCTAACAGCGACCTAATCTTGAAGACCAAGTTCAACCAGTGGATTGATCTGATTATCAAAGTGGAAGGTCCCGTTGCTCAGCCCCATCCAATCCACAAGCACGCCAACAAATTCTTCGCCATCGGTGCTGGTACAGGAGCTTTCAACTTCACCACCGTCGCAGCTGCTCAAGCCGGCGGTATGCAATTCAACCTTCAGAACCCTCCATTCTTGGACGGGTTCACCAGCATTCCTGCTGAGGGAACGGGATCTTGGATGGTCTTCCGATATCAAGCCGACACACCTGGTGCATGGCTGCTCCACTGCCATATCCAGACTCATTTCTCTGGTGGTATGGGTGTTGCCATTCTTGACGCAATTGACAACTTCCCCAAGGTTCCAACTGATCTTGGCTCCACTTGCTCCGGCACTGGCAAGAGCACTGACAATGGTAGCGATTCTGGCTCCGGCTCTGGCAGTGGATCCGGCTCTGACTCCGGTTCTGGTAGTGGTTCCGGTAGTGGTTCCAGCTCTGGTAGTGGTTCTGGTAGCGATTCTGGCACTGGCTCCGGCTCGGGATCAGGATCAGGATCTACAACAACTGCAAGTGGTTCCACAGGAACACGACCAGCTACAATTGCTACATTCACTGGCGCAGCTTCATCTGAGAGACCAATGGTGTGGTCTGTGTCCCTGGGTCTGTTGGCCTTCGTGTTGGCTCTTACATCATGATCCTGGAGAACATGTTGTGGTTTCATGTATCTCATACTTTTCTATCTTCGATTCTTTTTTGATATCCAAGCACGCATTAAATAGGGAGAGGCATAAGCACGCAGCACAGAACAAAAGTGGAAGGGAGGGGATCGGCATGCATCACAACGGATATGTACCAAATACGATCCTTCTACATGTAGTTGACACATAACGATTGATAATAACGACAGAAAATCTTTTCTTACAAACTTGTTCATTTCCCGAGTTGATCCTGGCACATCATTTCCAGAGAAAAACAAATAGTTTCCCAATTTCCTGGCCCGTCCCTTGACGCTGATCGACCCATGTCGATACTATCGTTCCTGCAAAGCTCCGAGTAAGATTATGCGAGTGACTCTGTAACGGCCCCAGCCGGCCTGTTAGCCGCGCTAAGTACCTTGCGCTGCAACCCAACTGTGGCTGCGGATCCTAGCCCCATATAAATAAAAGATGACTGGTAATGGCGCACACGCAAGGGATAAAAAGGCTGGGATAGTGGAGGCCCAGTGGATGCCAAGTCTGGAGTACATGTAAGGCGTAAACATGGGGAACGCAGCTGCCAGTAACGATCTCATGACTGTACCTCCTGCGAGAACAGATGCGGCGTATAGCAAATACGCGTCAACAAGGTAGTTGTTGATCGCCACGAAAATGAGTACCATGCCAAAGCCGAAGACACTGCTGGCTGAGATACTGGCCAACCAATGGACTGATCTTCCATTGGTCCATGCGAACCAGAATAGCCCGGCTGATATCGCAACACCACCTATCATAGCAGGCGGGAGTCGAGACTCCGGTGTAGGATTCTTGAGCCTCTGATAGCGATTGTTAATGGAAAAGTTCAACAGAACCGCGGCAGCAATTCCAACCGCCACGCCCGCAAATGCAAGACCACCCAATCCTTGGCTCCATTCTCGTTCTTGCTGATACACCACCGGAAATGCGGCGAAGAGGAGGTAGAGGATGGCATACACGATAGAAAGATAGAGCGACAGGAGAAATATGATCGGCTCCCCGAAAAGGAATCGCCATGGACGTGTCAGTGCGATCTTCATCCTTTCAGCGAATGACAACGATACTCCTTCAGCTTCGAAATGAGAGCGATAAACCATGCCAGTAGCCCGGGAAAGCGTCTTAGCCCGAGCTGACAGCAAGACCGGAGCATACGTCTCGGGTATGATGACAAAGCCCAAGATCAAAAAGATCACCGAAAGAAGGGTAAAGAGAGCACTGGCCCATCTCCAACCATCTTGACGGGCCGCTTGAGATATAAACCCTGATGTAATGGGGCCTAGCGAAACTTGTCAGCAATCAAACCAGCAATCAGTCTATGGATTGATTGCCATACCTAGTACTGGACCCAAAAAGGGTGCTGCGGAAAAGAATGTCATCGCAAGGCCTCGTGATTGAGGGGGAAACATGTCTGCGACGATAGCAGCTGCGTTGGTCAAACCTGCCGCCCCGAAAGACCCGGCAAAAAATCGACAGACCAAGACGGTCTCTATGTTTTGTGCAGCCGTCACTCCTCCGTTAAAAGCGGCAAACACGGAGTAGCTGATCAAATGAGTAAGTTGACGGCCAGCCACCTCACTGAAAGGAGCCCAGAATATCGGGCCGACAGCAAATCCGACAACATAGAGCGAAACTCCTGAAATTGCAAGTTCTTCACTGATATCGAATTGCTGCATCATGGAAGGAATACCTCCAGTGTACCCTGATGAGGCCAAGGTGACGATGAATAAGGTCAAAGCGGAGACCGCGGTATAAAACCATTTTGTCGCGGGAGCAAAGCCCTTGGGGTCTCGGGGGTCATTATCAATCCACGTCACCACATAGGGATCAAGGTCTGTCCCTGAGCCTTCATAATGCCACGAACGTACCTCGTGATTGATCAAGCCGTGATGTATAACAGAGCGCCAGTGTGAAGACGTATTGGGCTGCGGTAGGGGCTTCTCCTGATCGTCCTCCAGGACCATGCTGCGTGTTGGATGCTTATGAGAGAATGAAAAGCGATGCTTCAAGGTCTCTGCCTCTTTGTTGTATTGAAATCCTCTCCCAATGCTATCCGGAAATTCAAATTCATCCTTCGATCATTGAGGGCATGGTCGACTCAAGATAACTCCTTCCTATTGAACTTGTTGCAATAAGCCCGAGCTGCTGAGAGCAGAGGGGCTCGATTATGTACCTCCGAGAGCCCAAAGTTTTGACCGCGGTTGATTTAAGAGGTGGAGCTTCATCCACCTGAGTCAAGGCGAAGATCTTAAACTGGGTTACATGCTAGGTTCCTTCAGAACATCGATGGATTTGTCAATCGCATCGGTGTAAGCGTATTAAATACTGAACACTTGTCCAGCAATAGCGGCCGCGGGGCAAAGAGCCACCCTTAGCCTCGGTGATAACGGCAAAACCCCTGTCGGCATGGCTATCTCAGTCGTCGAATCCAGCCCGAGGAGCCAATCGGCAAGCTTGCCATCAGCCTTTTGAGGAACCATGGCCTCATGGCACGGAGATTCGGTAAGAAGTACATCCAAGTAGACAGGTGCCGCCCCTCGCAAAACTTGGGTGGTTCTTGACTTCAGCAGAGGAGTGGATGCTAACAACTGAAATTGCCGCAGCCAAGAACTTCTCTCAATTGTTAGAGATTATGGTCTTAGGAGTGATGCGTTGACACGAAGAACTACTCGTACGCCGGCGCCCGACAGCCTGATTCGGTTCCTGGAAGAGCCGCACGAAAACTGAAATTCAGCGACCTGCAAAAGGACTTAGGTCCTCGTCGCTCTTGAGGACTATGAAATTTTCCAATGGCGGGTCATCAGGTGAAAACCGCTGCGAGCAAACGACGGCGGACTGCTCTTGCATGCAGTGAATGTCGCTCGCGCAAGATCAAATGCGATACAGTTCGGCCGACATGTGGAACTTGTCAGTCCCACGGCCGAAACGCAAGCTGCTCGTATGAAAACCTCGTCGAACGCGATAAGCGGCGTCAGTCTGAGAGGTATGCCCTGCAAAACCAAATGTCCTCCATGAGAAACTCAATGCTCTTAGATATATCCACTTGTTGGAGGCCGAACTCAACCAGTACAGGAGCTCAAGTCAGACAGGAACCCCAATATCACAGCATGGCAAAATCACAGACCGACTGCTGGTGGGTAAGGCGCCATCTAATCCCAGCTCATCTATTCCCGAATTTCCCGGCCCGCATTCAAGCGAATCAGGAGTGAATCCAATCCCTCACAGTCCTGTTTCGCATGTGAGCAGTGGAAAGCAGCTTCTACTTGAACAGGAAACATTGGGATCCTCCACTCGCAGTTTCATGGCTGAAGTTCAGCAAGCTCCGATGCTCAGCTCAGTCGCACTGTTCGAAGAGACTGCCACTGAACCAGGTGCAAAGTACGGGTTTTTCAGTCAACAATTTCACGAACAAATCGCCAAATTCCCATCATTGTCTCAAAACAATGGTATTCCGACGCCTCGACTTACTCCGTCTTGGCTGCAGCACTTTGAGGACGTCTACTTCAGCCATGTATACTATTCATTTCCTTTTTTGAACCCGGTAGACTGGCACGGTAAACATCTTGCCCGAGTCTTGACGTCTGGTGCTTCGGACTACAATGAAGACCTCAATAATGCCGATCCCACAGCGCTATGTATGGTCGATTTGATCTATGCTCTTGGAGCGCTGTGGTCGACAAGACTGCAACTGGAACAATGTCTGCCTGTGTCTGAAAGGTTCTTTCTAGCAGCAAAGAAACTAATATGTCTTGATGATCTTGAAACTCCGAGCATGCTTCTAGCACAAACCCTTTTGCTCATCACCCAATACTGTGTTGCTCGGACTCATCGCCAAAGAGGGTTCATGCACGCCGCCCTAACTTACCTAGGTCTTGCAATTCGGGTGTGCAGAAGTTTGAGGTTTCCCAGTATTCAGTACGCTGACACCTTGGCTGAGCAAGATACTATTGCCCTCAAGCTCTGGTGGAGCTGCATATACTATGACATGTGAGTGCCGTAGCGCAGGATAAGACTTTAGACTCACCATAGTAGTGTCTTTGCGTCCACATGTGGTGAACCGACCATGGTTGATCCTCGTGAGTACAGGGTCGCAGACAAATTCCAACTAGGATTGAAAGACAGCTCCACCCAACGTCTTCACTTCTCTCCATACAGCTATTTTGAGAACAACGTTCGGCTTTCGATTATGATACGAAACCTGTGCGCAGAGTTGCACGAAGCATCTCCAGATCACCAGACCAACCTCCAAGGACGCTTTTTCAATGGTGATTTCAGCTTGCTCCAAAGACACGAGATGAATCTCACCAGGTGGTTTACACGACTACCAGCTGAATTGACGATCGAATGCCGTTGCACTATCTTCGACAAACATCTAATGCTTGAACAACGACTAAATCTTCATATAAGGTAGTGTCACGTGGTAAATCCAAGGGCAATGCTGATATTCGATTGTCATAGGTACTATTATGCTCAAATACTCCTCTACCGGCCTGCAATATCATTTCTGCTTAAGCTGCAAGCCAAATTACAATGCGTTGAGGTTTTGGATGACCATAACTTTGAGGGCTCATTTGCTCAAGATGCCCTCAGACGCTTTGCTTCGAAATGCCTACAAGCCGCTGTTAATACAATCGACCTACTACACACCTACCTGGGAACAGGAGGCGAAAGCATGACCCCTGTGCGAAACTTCACACCGTTGTGTTTCTGTGCGTGCAAAATACCCCTTTGAACTTGAATTTTGCTCACGGCCGTGCAAGACCTCTACAATGCAATGCTGGTCATGATTGCAGCAAGATGTTGTGCGAACGATGGCCTCTGTGAGGTCAACCTCCACAAGAAATGGCATCAAGCGTCAAAGATCATGCAATTCTACCAAGCAACAATCAGTACGATCGAGCTCCCTTTCAAATTCTTCGAGGTTATCAACGAGCGCCTTTTTCAAGGTGCCGACGAAGGTAATCATCCTCCTGCAATCTTTGCAGTGGTTTAGAGATGAGCTTACTAACGGGAGACACCAATTACAGGCGAACCGGCTGCAAATCTACAGCAATTTTCAGAAAGCTGGAATATGTTCGACTGGTATCACGAAGATGCTGCGTTCAACCAAGACGAATCTCCGCAGCTGGTCCAGAATCAGGCTGCACAAACGGTGGACACCATGAGCTCCCAATGGCTAGGAAGTTTCTTAAGTCTGTGAAAATGGAACTAGCATTGACCTTTACTACTAACAGATTGTCGGATTCAATCCTTGATACGGATACAGTAGATAGTTTCGCCAGAGGGAACGAAACATGTTGCTTTGCTCGGCTTTCTCCAACATCCGAGATAGTTACTCGTAGAACGTGCATGTTGCCAATCTACTGTAGTTGGTTTATTTGCGCACTATTTGACGATCCGGTTATCGGAGTCGTGCGGTTGCACCTCTGTGGGTGTGCACAAGGCTGTGCTTCAAGGATAATGGATGCAGCATGTGGCACCCGGACCCAATGTCATGACTCGTTGGGACTACTGGAGGTGACGAGGCCCTATAATGGGAAGGGGACATAATTCTTCCTAAGACGGTACGAGGGACTCGTCAGACTATATAGTATCCTAAGTACGTACTAGATTAGCGCCTAGGCGCTCCGGGTTCGCTTCGGATAGCGTTCGAATAGCTCTCGGAGCTAGTTCGGATGTGGCGAAGCGATATTATAGACTACGGTCTTTATAATCGCTTAGTATTAATAATTATATCCTTCCCTACCTAACCGGACAACGGCCTCGTTATAATATCGAGGATAACGTCGTTAACTTACTAGCGTAGTCTTTCGGATAAATTATATCTCTCGTAATAAGTCTATAGTACTATCTATATCGTAGTAATAACCCTAGTATTACTTCGAAGAGGTTTAGCTAGGTAAAGAGGCTTATATCTAATTTCGAGTTAGCGTAGGGCGTCGGAGAGTATATACCGCGATAGGATTAGGCTTAAGTTCGCGCGTATCTATAAGGTCTTTTCGAGGCGATATAACTAAATATAAATAGTCTCGGGCGTACTAATAAAGTACGTAATAGCCTTACGTATATTCGAGGGGCTAAAGTAAGGTATAAATACCTTATAAGGATTATCCTCTTTATCTTATCGGCGCTAGACCCTTATTTTTAACGTTAATACCTAAGATACTCCTCTCGTTATTATTTTATAACTAGCCTCGTAATAGACTAGCGTTACCGAGACGTCCTCGAGACTTTACTTACGGTAATAGCTTAGTATATACGATTAGGGTTAATTCGGCGCTATTCTAAGTCTATATATTAAGGCCTCATAGCTACTCTTCTCTCTCTATTCCGTACTATATCTCTAAAGTCTCCTCTTTCTTCTTCTTTTACCTCGCTCTCTTCCTTATTTCCTACTTTTACGTATTCGAAATACCTACTCGCGCTAAAAAGAACTATTAGGAAGTTAACGTTAAGCCGGATCGTTCTCGATTCGACGACTAGCTCGAACCTAGCGATAGTCGTCGTTCTAAGCTAGCTTCGACTATAATTACGAAGCGTTAGAGTAATACTTTAATACTACGTAATATTCCTATTATATTCGTAAGCCGATTAAGTATTTCGAGATTACGCTAAAGCTAACTTATTTTATAGTATTATTAGTAATTAATTTTAAGTTTAACGTCCGCGATTAATACGCCTTCTTTAATATCGATTTAGAAGTTTATCGATAGCTTAAAGAATCGGTATTATAGTAGTTTCTATATTCGCCTTATAGTTAATTATTCTCTACTTCGATTTATCGAGTACGCTAGTAAATTAAATCTTAGTACACTTAATTATACTATATTAGCGATTAAGTATTCTATTAGTCTCGTACGTAATTTAAGCGATGCGTATAACTCGTACTAGAAAGGCTTCGACTCGATAAGCTATTCTTAGTAGGTATTTCTAAAGTACGTTATAGTACCGATAGATCTATCTATTACTAGCTCTAATATCTCTACTCTAATATTACTAGGAAGTAATTATATATTCTACTTTAAGAGGAGTTAGATTTATTCCCTTCGGTCTCGTAATAGCTTCGAAGTAGTTACTTAAAATTAAGAAAAGGATTATCTTTCTAAGGCTAAGTCTCGCGAAGTCTCTATAGTCGAGCCTATACCTACGATAATAGATCGTAAGTTAACTCGAATTACTCGTCGACCGGCCGCTACTCCTATCCGTAAAGCGAAGAGTATATTTCTTATCGACGTAGGTAGTTATATCGTAGCCTATATTCCGAGTTTCGATAGAAAGTTAGTTAAAACTAGTAACGAGATTATCGTCGCTACGAGTTCGGGCGAGATTATATTTAAATATCCTAATCTCTAAGGTCTAGATTAGAATAATTCCTAGACGATTCGGAAGAATTAGAAAGCTATTCGTAGTACCTTAGTATATTTCCTAGGTAAAATTAATAATAATAAAGACTAAAAGCTTAAGGCTAGTAAGAAGAGTAAGTTCTATATTACTAAAAGTATTACTTCTTCTTTAGTAATCTAAGAGTTAATCGAAAGCTAATCGCTACTATAAGGTAATACTCTATACGGTTCTATTTCTCCTTTAATTATAAGTCGTTAACCTTCTCTTTCTTCGGTCCGTTCTTCTAGCGATAGTTCGGCCTTAAATAGTACTCCTCGAGGTCTTCGGCTACCGCCTCCTTCTTTATTTCCTTCTTAATTCTACTCTTAGTAGCCTTTAAGTTCTATTAATCCTTAAGGCGATACTAGTTTCGGAGCGCCTAGTTATTTCTTCGATACTCGCTCTAGTATATTTATCTACCCTCCGAGTAATCCTCCCTCTCTCGACTTCTAAGCTCTCCTATAATAGTAGGCTTAAGCTTATCGAATCTAAATAGAGGAGATACGAGCGGAATTATAAAGAAGTTAATAGAATTAACTTATAATACTCGATAAGGTACGATAATTATAACGATTAATAAGTATTATAGACTATTAGTTCGAATAGCCGCGTCGGTTCTCGTAATATAGTCCGCCTTCGCCTTCCCTTCGACCGCCGAGATCTAGTTAGGATCGGTATACGTCTAAGGTCTTACCTCGGAACCGTCGAGCTAGTAAGGTATAGACGAGGGCGCGTCGCGATACGAATATACGAGGTATCGAGGGGGATAATAATAAAGCTATAAATCTAGATCGTTCTAGCCTAAATACGAGGTTAACTACGATCGCGTCTTCTTCGCCCGATTTAGAGTTCCTTAATTATTCTACTTCGTAGTCTTAAATATAACTCTAAGGACGAAGCGTAGGTTCGTCTTCTTAATTTAGTTTATAACCTCCCTCGACGAAACTACTAGCCGATTCTCGACCTTTATCTATAGTACTATAGCGATAATTACGTTATCTATTAGTAGCGTCTTAGTAATATCCTACGTCTCGATAATCTTCGGTCGCTAGTTCGTATCCGCTATAGTAGAGTAGTTTAATAGCTAGGTTTTTCTAGGATTTAGGCGTTTTTAGCGTTTTTATATTAGATTTCGTAATTAGTTAAATACGGTAGCGATAATCCTAAGAAGAGGTTTCGTAGCCTTAAAGAAGTTAGTTCGCCTTTTTATAGATAGAAAATACTAAAAATATATTTAAGTAATTCCTATTCCTTATTTAAAGATCTCGAATAACCTTCGCCTTTAGGTATAGCCGTAAAGAACGGCCTTCGATATATCTATCTCGTATCGATATAGCGTTTACTATTACTTACCGTCCCTAGAACTATATCGAATAAGTTTCGTTACGCTAAAGTCTTCGCCTCTATAGTCGTTACTAATTTTCCTTTATACGGCGAGATAATTTAGCCCGGTCTATTCTCTACGAGTCTTATATCGCTCTAGTCGGTATCGAGCTCGGTTATAAAACTTTAATAGTATCGATATCTATACTTATTAGGCTATCGAAATCTAACTTAAGAGGAGAGGGGAAAGGTATTAGATTCTATAATACCTTCGAAGCTATATTACGATCTATAGCTTATTCTTTTCTTCTAACGTCTATCGGATTCGGTTCCCTTAGGAGGCTCGTCGTTATCGAGTCGGCCTATAGCGTATCTATATATTTAAGGGCTCGGGAGCTACTCGCGAGTTACTCCTATAAAGATCTAATAGCGCTTATAGTTAGTTCCGAGTTACGAAGGAGGTCCCTAGACTCTATAATTTAGTCTAATTTAGGTAGATCTATCTTTAGCTCCCTACTTTCTACTAGCGTCTAATTAGTTTTAGGATTCTCTCTAAGTTCTAATACTCTACTTCCTAGTATTCTATAGTCTTTCTATAATTTAGGTCCTAGAGTTATCGGCGTTCGCGTAAAGGTACGCTAACCTTCCTTCGCCGGTACGATATCGAGACTATATAGTATCGATAGAAAAGAAGTCTTCTCTCCTCTTATACCCTTCGGTACTACGCCTCGATCTCGAATATCTAGAAGAACTAATTATAAAGAGGCTACTCTATTATCGAGCGCTCTTTATATTCCTAATCCTACTAGAACTATATTATAAGTTATTTCTTTCTTCTTCTTCCTTTAACGACGACGTTTTTCTCTCGTTAGAGTTTTAGCCGTACCGTCGAACTCCTCCCCTACCTAGCCTTAACGATTACCGAATCGTTTTAACTATTTCTACTTTAGTATTAGGGCGAGTTTATAGTATATTAGGAGTATTTCCCTTATATTAAGGACTTCGAGTATCTTATTCGAAGAGTTAATAATTACTTCCTCCCTTCGAAGTCTACCTTACGTAGTAGGTATAAATATTTACTCGTCCTCTACGGAACCGCTAGAGTAGTATCTTAATAGTCGGCTCTCGTAGATTAGGTTTCGAAAGACCCGACTATTATTAGTTTCTAGGATATAAGTTCTAAACTAAAGCTTTTTAAGAATCTTAAAAGGTCCGAAGTATATAGCTTCGAGCTTCTATCTTATATTATTTCGTAGTATAATCTATTCGTTTTCCTAGAAACCTATATCGACTTCTCGGAGTCGTATAGAGCGAAGTCGTTAAGTATAAATACCTCGCTCTAATAGTAATCTATTAATATCGTACCTCGCGGTATAGAAGTTTTCTATTCTCGCCGCGAAGTCTATATCTAGGTTCTTTATATCGAAGTCTTCTTAGTCTCCTATTAATCGAGGTTCGATACCGTATACGAGTTTAAAGGGACTTATTTCCGTT